GTGATGGGTGTGGAAGGGGATATGCTGAGCACCTTTAGGGACAAATAGACACATGCCTCCTCCTGTATGTATCCTCAGCCAAGTAATTTGTAGGTTGTTCATGGAATAAATCTTTATAGGGCTGTTACTGTTGCCAGGTACAGTGCTAAAGATTGGAAGTACAGCCATGAGCAAAAGAACAAAACTCCTCCCTGAGGGGACTCCAGAGAAGCAGAGGCAGATGTCATCAGATAGGACATGAATCCATCACACTTGCAGCAACTGCAGGATGGAGGGGTAGGGCTGCTGGGGAGGAGGAGAGGGTCTGATCTAGGAGGTTAGGGAGGACTAGCAGGGCAGTGGCTTTGGAGCCCAGCCTCTGAACAGAGAAGGTTAACCATGGGTTGGGAGGGAGAATGCCTCCCTGGAACAGCTGGGGAAGCCAAACCCTTCTAGGGGAAGGAGGAGGAGGAGAGGCCAGACCAAAGGGGGCAGGAAGAGGCAGACCAAGGCCAGGCCAACCTCCTGGGCCCCAGTCACTTAAGCAAGTGGGTAATGATTGCATTTCTTTTGGGTCCATTCCCCTAGATTGCAGGAGACCCTGCTTGGAAACAAGGAATGCAGTGTTGTTGTTTTTTTTTTTTTTTAGATAAAAATTGTAGCCCTGGAACTCACTTTGCAGACCAGGCTTGCCTCAGACTCACAGAGATCTGTCTGCCTCTGCCTCCTGAGTGCTGAGATTAAAGGTGCGCGCTACCATTCCTGGCTACACCACCTTTTTGGGTCTTTTTGTTTTCTTTTCCTCCCAGAGCTGAGGACTGTATCCAGGAACTCAAGCACTCTACCACTGAGTTAAATTCCCAACCCTTATACCCACATTTTTTTTTCAGTTCCTCCCCCCACCCACATTTTTCATGTGGGTTGTGGGTATGAAATGAAGTCCTCGTGGTTGCAAGGCAAAAAGCTTTGCTGACTAAGCTACTCTCTTTTGTGTGTCTGGGGATGGGAGAGAGGAAGGGATGTGTGCATGTAAGTTCATGCGCATGTGTGTCCATGGATGTGTGGCAGCTAGAGGGAGTGTCTTCCACTCTTTCCATCTTATTTTTCCAAGATGGGGTCTCTCACTGAACCTGGAGTTCACTAAATAGGTAAGACCAGCAGTTGGCCAGGGACCTGGGGGAACCTCCCATTTCCCTCTACCTCCCCAGCAGGATGACTACAGGCACTCATTGTTAAACCTGGCTTTTGACTTAGGCCATCAGATACCCTAGAACTGGAGTTATGGACAGTTGTAAGCCACCACATGGGTGCTGGGATTCAAACCTGGGTCTTCTGTAAGAACAGCCAGTGCTCTTAACTGCTGAGCCATATCTCCAGCCCCAAATCTCTTAAGATTTTTAAAAATTAATTTTATGTGTATGAGTATTTTGCCTGTATGTATCTAGGTGCACCTGTGTGTGGAGTGCCCACAGAAGCCAGAAGGGCATCAGATCCCCTGGAACTAGAGTTACAGATGGTTGTTCACCACTATGTGGGTGCTGGGAACTAAACCTGAGTCTTCGAGAGGACAGTGTTCCAGTGTCTGATGCAAGCACACACATGAGCCACAGTGCAGTCAGAGGACAATTTTCAGGAGTCACTTCTCTCCTTCCACTATGTGTGACCCGGGGATAGAAATCAGGTCGTCAGTTTTGGCAGCAAGTGTCTTTACCCAATGAGCCATCTAATAGTCCCTAAAGTTCTTATTTTTAAAGATTGCGGCAATGGACTGGGTCCCGACAGAGTCTACAGCATTCTGTGAAGTCTTGTAGCTTGAATTTACTTTTGTTGTCAAAAGGTTTTGTAGGCTGGGCATGGTGGTGCACGCCTTTAATCCCAGCAGAGGCAGGGGGATCTCTGTGAGTTCAAGGCCAGCCTGGTCTACATAGTGAGTTCCAGGACAGGTGGAGCTACAGGGAGACCCTGTCTCAAAAACACCAAAAAAAAAAAAAAAAAAAAAAAAGGGTTTTGTAATCATTGTTGATAGACATAATACATGAGTTTAAAAACAAGGAAAGATACAGGGTGAAATGTTTTTATTTTTATCCCCAACTGAGTATCCAGTTCTCAGAAGCAACAATGACCAATTTCCGCCTATTTGTTGATTTTACCTCCTAAAGGCTGGAGACTGAAACCACTGAACTATAGCCCCAGCTATGACCAATTTCATTAATATCCTACTGGGACTATTCACTGTATGAATAAGCATTATGTCTACATTAATCCCATCATTCTATAATGTGCATAGAAGCATATTCTGCTTTGTAAACTTGTGCATCTTACAGATCTTCATATGCAGAAGCATGGCAAGATCCTGTCTTAAGAAACATATGTAGGTATGTACCTGTACACACACACACACCTTTTAAAATTATTTTATGAGTGTATTGCCTGCATGTGGGTAGGTGCACCTATGTTGTGCAGTGCCTGCCAAGGTGAGAAAAGGGCGTCAGATCCCCTGGAACTGGAGTTATGGTCAGGTTTTAGCTGCCATGTGGGTGCTGGGAATCAAACTCAGGTCCTCTTCAAGAGCAACCAGTGCTCTTAACCGGGAGCCATTTCTCCAGCCCACACATACCTTTTTAATGACAGTGTTCCAGAGTCCACTTATATTGCAGCCTGTCCATCCAGTTCCCTGTTGACAGGTTTTTATATTCTGAGTACTACTAGGTGAGCATCCTGGTCCTTACACACCTGCTTTTTCTGTTCTTTGCTGTGCCAGGAATGGAGCTTGGGGCTTGGTGAATGTGACAGCAAGCACAGTGGCACTGGTTTGAATCTTCTGCCCCATGGCATATACACCTCTGTGCACATATTCAACTTTAGAGATTCATTTTTTGTAAATGATGCTATGTTAAAGATTCTGTGGTTTTACTGCCTGTAACTCCAGTTCCAGGGGATCCAACACCATCTTCTGGCTCCTGTGGGCATTTCACACAAGTGGTGCACTTACATACATGCAGGCAAAACACTCATACACACATAATTAAAAAATAAATAAATAAATAAGAAGATTCTGTTTTAAATTTTGGTAAGACAATGCCAGTTTTCCAGAGATGTTGGTTTGTGTTTTAAAACTCTGTAAACATGGCTCCCAACAAATATGAATGACCATGGGCTCAAGCTGTCCAGAATGCCATGTTCCAATATGGAAACAGTTACAGGAATGCCCATGAATTCTCCCCTTTACTCTAAGCTTGGTCTTAGACCACTTCCTACTCTAGTCATACTGAATTATTTCTGGTTGCTGTCAGTCATAGCTGGACTTCAGGGGAGAGTAAGGTTGGCTTTCTGGAGCCTCTAAGACAGAAACTGGGTGCCAAGGGAAATAGGGAGCTGTGGAGGGCGTGGTGCAGGAGTGTTTTGGGAACGCTGTGGTTTGACAATGCCCCTTAACAGTTCCTGTGCTGGAAGCCTGGAGCCCATCCTTTCCATTTCACTCCAGATTTTTCTATGGGAAGTTATCTGAGACTCTGCAGTGGAACCTCAGTCCTTGATCACAGGGATGTCACCCTGCATTTATCTTTTACTCTGTGTGGCTCTAGCTCACTGCTGAGTTCCAGATGCTTCCAAACGGCCCAGAGCCTGTGATTTACACACGTTGACATGGACAGGATGGAGGATACCTGAGACAAAATCACTGTTCTTGGCCCCGGGTCACCTCCTGGCCTTGTCCTCTAACCACAGCTTCCACCCTCAGCCAGATTGAACCCTGTGTGTGTGCCTTGGGCAAGCTAGGCAAGTGCTGGATCCCCAGCCCAGGGTCACTCTGCTCAGGCCACATTGCTGCTGTGCTGCTGCTCCTAAGCCCTCCTGACTCTTCTTCGTCAGGTCTCAACCAAAGTTCTTTTTTTTCTCCAAAGGGAGAATAGTTGTCTGCAGATGAAGGCAAAGCCAAAGCTCTCTTTTAGGAAAACCTTCGCTTCAGATATTTCTAGGCAGGCTAGTTTGTTTTTTGCCCAGAACAACTGTCTTAAACTAGGTATGTGATAGTGGGAACGGCCGTCTAGGCTCCCTGTCCCCTGTACACCACAGCCCCATCTCGTTCACGGTGAGTCTGCAGAGCCTCTGAGGGCCTGGCTGCAGCACGGCAGGCTCTGGAAGCTGAGCGAATCCGTGGGTCTGCCAGCCTTTCCCCGAGAAATTGCAATTTGGGGCCTGCAATCAGGAGCGCTGGAGAGGAAGCTGGGGAAGGATCTGGTCTCAGGCTAGTCCCTGGACGGCCAGGCAGGAGGCCCCAGGGATCCTGTGGGGGATGGGCAGGGGAGCTGTTTCTTCCTCCCCAGGGTGGGGGAGGGGCGGCTCCTTCACCCCGGCTCCTAGGCACAAGGCCTGCTGGGAGGGAGGGGGTGGGGAGCCTGGTGAAAGCTGGCTTTCTCCCGGTGGCCTCAGCCCTATTAGAGAGCAAGGGAGATGGGTGGGAGAGGGGAGGAAGGGGCAGTACTGTCGGGTGGCTAGGCAACCCAGGAAGGAAGGGCTGAGCTGCCTGAGCCAGGTAAGATCCAAGAGCCTTCCAGGCCCAACTCGAGATTAGCTCTGAAAATCTCATGTCGCCAAGTCCGAGAATCATCAATCAGTACTCTGGGGAACTTTTAACTATAGTGTTAAAAACACTGCAAACACTGCAGTCCTTCAGAGGGTTAGGGTCTGCAGAGCACTGGGCACAGGAGGCAGGAGCCCTGGGCTCGACCTTGCTCAAATGCCAAGCTCACCATCTCGATTTACCTATTTCCGATGGACACACACACACACACACCTGTAATTCCAGTGCTCAGGAGGCCTGGGCAGAAAGACTGGGAATTCCAGGCCAAGTAAACAGCTGTCTTATAAAACAAACAAAACCCCACAAACCCCAAAAATACCACACAAAAACTGAGTTTTAGCAGTGAGCTAAGCTTTGTTTGCAGGGTAGAGAAATGATGTTTAGGGAAGGATGCTGAATGCAGGGCTGCATCTAACACTCCAAGAGAAAATGCAGTTAGTAATACAAAAGATAAATATTTATTCAGGACAAATCTTAACGATTGATTTTACATTCTAAGCCACAAATAACAAAACATATATATGCGAAGGTAAGACAAAAACTTAAAGAAAAGCAGTTTAACAGCTAGTGGATCCAGGCACTCTGGCTTGGCCTGTTTTCCACAAACATGTTCAAGTTTACAGCTCACTCATGACTTCTAGGTTAAAACCACCTTTCTCCTGAGGGTTGGAGGTTGAAGTTTTCAGATGAGCTCTCGCTAGCTTCTCTAGGGTTCTAGTAACTGAGGCAGAGGTGCAAATGTAAACTTTTGGTAGGTTTCTTTACTTAGGGGAACGATTTCTCACTGGTGACAGTGAATGGGGAAGGGCCAGAAAGGGGCTGGAACACTTGAGATGTGGTGCCCCAAGGAGAGATGCCTGCAAGCCTAGAACGTTGTTGCTTGGTTCCTTCCCTAGTTCCCAAGTACTGTGAAGTCTCTGCCAAGCCTTCTGGATGGTTCTCAGGGCCTTGAGTGTTGAGGAAATTGTTGTGAAGTGTGAGAGGTAGTGGACAAGCACCGGGTTTGGGGTCAGGGTACTCTACAATGGGCTGACTGAGGTACCAGACAGCTGTGTATTTGGACCCAGCCCTTTAATTTCTCTGGGTCCATTTCATCTGCTGGAAAACCAAGGGGCTGGTTGAAAACACTCCTCAGGGAGGCAGAGGCAAGAATGTCACTACAAGTTTGAAGCCAGCCTCGTCTACACTGTGAATTCCAAGCCAGCCAGGGCTATACAGCAAGGCCTTGTCTCAAACCAAAATACAAAACCAAAAACCTCCCCCTAGAGAAAACCCCACAAGAAAAAAACACCTCTTAGGTCTTTTCCAGCAGGCAAGTTGAGGTTCCAAGATTCTTCAGAAAAATGCTTCTGAGTTACAGAAGAGCTGTCAAAAAGAACTTAAATTTTTTTATGCCACAAGAGGGGCCCTCCGCCATCACTTAGAGCTTATTGATTCAGATTACATACACTTCAAACAACATTGTTTCTACAAATTCTCAGACCACACAGATTCGAAGCAGCAAATTAAAAAGGCATGGGGGAAGAGCTGCAAAAGGTGCACACCCTTGACCCAAGTCACAGTCAACAACATCTTCAAACATTGATGGAGTGCAGGCCCTGCACTGCGGTTGAGGAATGGTGATGCACAAGGCGGCCCAAAGGGTGAAAATCCAAGGAGACAACGTATTGGGGGAGGTAGTAAAAAGTACAAGGGAAGAAATCGTAAAAAAACAAAAACAAAAGCACACCAAAGGGGGGGGGGCAGTTAAGGGAGGGGGTGTGGCAAGGTGTCTACCTGCACTCTACAGTCCTAAACAGTCCTCCTCGTGAAATTCACCATTTCAGATCAGGCTGAAACGGAGTACACTCGGTTTAAAAAAGGCATAGGATGTCTCTGATAGGGTTTCTAGAAATATCTCCTTCCATAAAAGATAAAAAAGGGTTTAAAAAAAAAGTTTTGGCACTTAAAGCGGGATAAGCTGGCTGTGCTATACACCCTGACAGGTGGACGGGTGCTCAGTGTCCCGCCACGCCGGTCAGTTGACCTGCCGCAGAATTGTGAACCGCTTTGGGACACTGGGCAAAGGCATGTCCTCGCTTGCCGCAGAGGTTGCACACGATGCCCTTCCTGCAGTAAGGGCTCAGGTGCCCCTCTTCCCCGCACCTGAAACACCTGTCCTGCGTGCAGCTGCCACTCATGTGGGTCCGGGAACCACACTTAAAACACGTCTTGGGCTGCCCCTTGTACCAGCTGTAGCCCCTCTCGGCTCCCAGGAAGAAGGCCCCGGGCAGGTGCCGGACCCCGCCCTCGCCCTGGCGCAGCTCCACCTCGCACTTGTACTCCCCGGTCCAGATCCCAAACCTGTCGGTCACCTTCACGGGCACGGCCAGCACGTCGCAGTGGCGCTTGAGCCAGGTCACGATGTCCTCCACGTCCACCGTCTCGTTCCGGAAGAGGATGAAGAGCGTCTTCAAGCTGGACTTGCTCCGCCCCAGCACCACGAAGTTGTCCCAGCAGTCCTCCTGCTCGCGCTTCTCCTCGTACACGCGCAGGAACAGGGCCAGCTTGTCGGCCGAGCGGAAGCTGACGTCGAACTCGCGACTGCCTGGGATCTGGATGACCGCATAGATGTCGGCCGGGTCCATGCCGATGGAGCGCAGGATGAGCGCGCCCACCACGAAGTCCCGCGTCGGGCAGGCACTCTCGTCTCCCTGGAAGCAGATGCGCACTAGGAAGCGGCCCTTACTCGGGCCGGCTGCTGGCGGCTCGTCTAGCACAGGCCGCTCGGCCGCGTTGTCTGTCGCGCCGGGCCTGGCGGGGGTCGCCATGGCCGCCACCGCTTCGGCCCTCGGCCTTCGGCCCGCCTCTCCCCCGCTCTTCTTCCCGCGAGCGTCCGCAGCCTCGCCAGCCGGGTCCCTCCGGCAGCCCTTTGAGTCCCCGCGGCCGGCAGGGGGGAAGTCGCCGGGGTTCGGCGGCGCCAGGCCCGCGCCGCCGCCTTCCTCGTCGCGCCGCCGCGCCTCACGGAAGTCGCCCTTCTTCTCGGCCAGGTTCTTCACCACCTGCGCCCAGCCCAGCTTCTCGCGGGCGCCCTCGACTTCCTCGGCGCGGGCGGCGGGCCGCGCAGGCATCGGGGACTGCGGCCGGGCCCGCTGCCGTACCTCCTCCGCGCCGCCGCCGGTGGCCATGTTACCTCCTTCCCAGCATCCTTCACTCGTTCCGCGGCCCGACGGCGCCCGTGGTGGGTGTCCGCCTGCCCGGCTGAGGGCCGTGGGCTGCGTGGGAGGCTTCCCCGCCCCCGCCCCTCTGAAACCCGACTCTCCTCGCCAGGCCAGGTCTACCCGCGTCCCGAACGGCGCCTCGCGGCAGCTGCAAGCCGCACCCACTCCCCCTCCTCGGGCTGCCCGGTACCCGCCAGCGCCGGGCTCTCCAGAGTTTCTCAGAGGGCCTCAATGTTTTCATTCAAGAAGTCAAAGGCCTCGATCGTCTTTTGGGTTCTTTGAAAGCAAAAGAAATAGGCGCCAAAAAGCCACACTTAGCTCTCCCTTCAAAGTACATGACAATGCATCCCCCCACTCCCCAGTTTTAGCTTATACATTATTGTTTTGTTCTTTTGTGACAGGGTCTCACTGTGTAGCCCTGACTGGCCTGGAACTTGCTATGTAGACTAGACAGGCTTTGAACTCACAGAGATCCGCCTGTGCTGGGATTAAAAGTGTGCACCAACCATCACACTCAGATTAGGTTATGAACACTTTATACAGAGAAGTTGAATTTTCTTTGTGAAGACTTGAGTGTTTTTGCCATTTTAATTTTTTTTAAAGGGGAAGAGGGCTCAGTAGTTAAGAGTACTTTGTTGCAAACAACCCACATTAGGTTCCTTGGTTGGGTGGCTTACACCCACCTCTTACCCAGCTCTGGGGGAATCCGTGCAGACATACACATAATTTAACAAAAATTCTTGTGACAAGTACTGTGCATTACTTGAAACATGTAAGAACCTCTATGGCTCATGCCTGTAATTCCAGCACGTGGGAAGCAGAGGCAAGGGGATTGCCTTCAGTTCGAGGCCAGCCAGATCTACCTAGTGAGGGCCAGGCCAGGTCAGCTAGGAGTACTTAGCAAGAACCTGTCTCAAAACAGAAGATGGCTTGGTGAAATGGCTCTGCAAGTAACAGTGCTTGTTGCCAATCACTTGCCAGAGTTAACAGGCAGCCTCAAGGGTAGCCTTTCTTTAACCACTTGACTTCTAACACTGTGACTCAGGACCCATTTGCATTGGGCTCCACAGCACATGTGGCTAACAGCCCCTGACTTAAAGGAGCACTGGTTAACATTTCTGTTTTCCCTTTATCTGTGTCCACTGGTGTCTGGAAGCATCGATTACATTTGGGTAGTTGAGGGGACTGGTTTGTTTTCTGTGGCGTATTTGTGCATTTCAGGGTCTCAGTAACCTTTCCATATTTAGTGCAAGCAAAGGTGTGCCATGGAGACCAGTGTTTGAACCTGGCCTCTTTGGGTCTCATACTGGGCTGATGACCACTTTTTCAATAGCCTCAGTTTGCTTTTCCATAGCAAGGGGATGGTATCTAATTCCAGAAGATTACTATTATGTTTCTATTGATAGCTACTATATTGTATATTAATCTGTTTATATATTAATAGAGTCTCACAAGCTCAGGGATATAACCTATGTCAAAGAGCTTAGTTCAGAATGAATTCCTAGGAAACAAGATTTTTATAAAAAATTTTTTGTTTAAATTATATTTTATTTTTATCCATTTTATTTTTGTGGCATATGTGTGGAGGTCAGAGGACAACTTGTGGGAGCTAATTCTCTCCTTCCACTCTGTGGGTCCTGGAGAAGCAACTGAACTTGGGTTGTGGGGCTGAGGGGCAAGAGTCTTTACTGGCTGAGCCATCTCACCCGCTGGGGACTGGTTTCTTTCCTGTTTCTCCTCAGACTCTTCCAGCTCTAGTCAGCACATAGAGTCCTTGAGAGTTCCCCGCGTACCATCTTTCTCTTCACCTGAACCCCAGCATTGATCTCAGGGAAGGGAATTCCTGACTCTTGTATAGTTTCCATCGTTAGGTCCTTCTGTATCCTCAGACACTGTCTGGAATCTCTTCTCAGCCACATATTCCCTTCATCATTCCTTTTTTTTTTCCCCTTAAAAAAAAAAGTTATTGCCGGGTGTGGTGGTACACGCCTTTAATCCCAGTACTCGGGAGGCAGAGGCAGGCTGATCAAGGCCAGACTGGTCTACATAGTGAGTTCCAGGACAGCTGGGGATACAGGGAGACCCTGTCTCAAAAAGACTTAAAAAAAAAAAAAAGAAAGTTATTTTGGGGCTGGAGAGATGGCTCAGCAGTTAAGAGCACTGACTGCTCTTGCAGAGGTCTGGGGTTTGATTCCCAGCACCCACATGGCGGCTATGAACCGTCCTTAACTCCAGTTCCAGGGGAATCCGAAGCCCTCTTCTGACCTCCATGGCATTTCATGACTCAGGTACACTCACATACATACAGGCAATACACTCATACACACAAAATAAAAATAATAAAATAGTTTTTAAAATGTTATTTCATTATATTTCTATTTGTGTGTGTGTGCATGTGTGACTACGATCTGATCTGTGTGTGTGTGTGTGTAGAGATCAGACAACTCGTGGGAACTTGTGGTGAAAGACCCGACTGACAGCAGGAAGGCCATTTTAGAAAAAGAACTGTAATCAGCCATTCGATAAGCCAAGATTCTAACCCAGGTCTTGTGAAACTAGCAGTGGAAGATAGGACGTTTGCAGTCGGACCACCTGCCACCACCCTGAGGCCCCTACCGGGAAGTTAGTGATAACAGCCCCTACTGGGAAGTTAACGATAACAATCAGTTTCACCCATAGCCCCCTCTGAATTTGGCAATACTGTTTCCTCATACCTTGTACCCATTGAAATGCACTAATAATAATCTTGTAACCATGCATCTGCTTCTGTACCTTGCTTCTGCTCTATAAAAAGCCCCCCCAAACTAAGCCCGGCACGCAAGTCCTGACCCGAGCGGGACTCTGCGTCCGCAGGCGCCTGTGTATGAATAAATTCCTCTTGCTTTTGCATCCCGAAACTTGGTTTTGTCCCTGTGTGTTGAGCGCGATTCTTCAGTGGGAGTTGGTTCTCTCCTTCTACCGTGTGGATTCTGGGGATTAAATTCAGGTCATCAGGCTTTGAGCAAGCACCTTTACCTGCTGAGCCATCTCACTCCCCAGGAAGGGTTTAGTTTGGCTCACAGTTCAGTACAGCCCATCATAGTGGGGAAGTTAAAGCCTCCAGAGCCTGAAACAGCTGGTCACATGGTCTCCAGAGTCAGGAAGAAGAGAGCAAAGAGTGCTTGTGCCCAGCTCACTTTCTCCTTTCTATACAGTGCAGGATACTAGCCCAAGGGAATGGTGCCAGTCATCTTGGAGGGTGTGTCTTCCCATTCCAACTCTTATTAGTCTCTGCCTCTGCGGACTGGCTGAGCAGTTCAGTGTTTCCTGCCTGCTTTTTGATGTGACTACACAGAGGTCTGAAGTCCTGGCTGTGATCCTGGTCTGTCAGTGCCTTCCAGGTTTAGGGCTAAGAG